TTGAACCGCCAGCCTTCTGGTTAGCAGTCAAGTGCCTTAGCCACTATGCTACCAGAGCTCCCTTTTATTTTATATAATGTAGTTATTAGAAAATTTATAATTGCATATGTGGCTCTCATAATATTTGAGTTGGACAGTACTGCTGTAGACTTGCACACACTGGTGACTCTCATTTCCTTAGTCTTCCCCAGACTGTGGGTACAAGGCAGAGATATAAGAAATTATAAAAAAGGTAATATGATTGGATATGAGAAATTATTCATTTGAATCTTTGGATGGAATCTATGTAACTGAGAGACAGTTTTGCTATTCATAGGGAAATACAGAAGCTAGGTGGGGGAGCTGGTATGATAATGGGTTGTGGAAGTGAGGTTGATTTATAATTCATTTGGCTTTATACAGCTATTAGCTATCTGGGAGCTCAGGTCTCCCCATCTCTCTTCTAGACACTTCTTTCCAACATATGACAGCACTTTTCATCTGAACAATGTAGACCTTTTCTGTCTACTGGTAGACTTTCAAGACAAAAGTATCAAGTTTATCCAGCATCCATTAAAACAATTTTCCTGTTATGCAGGCCATGACAAAGAAATCCCAGAAACAGTGTTCTGCTGAGTTTACTTTTATTGAACAAGCAGTTGGACAGAAAATGTTGTGATCAGGAGGTTTCTGGAATGCAGATGGGATGCAGATGTGCCCTCCAATCACAGTCCAGGAGGTAAGAGATGGAAAAGACTGGAAATCAGTAAGTCCATTCCCCCAACAGCTTGGTGTTATTTTTTATTTTTTATTTTTTTTTGCTTTTTTTTCTATAGTAAATAAGATGAGCTTCAGAAGCATTTTTTATATATACAGACTGTGAAGGTAGGCAATTCAGAATTGGGGTATACATTTCCCCTCATGGCTTTCACCAATTCTCTCACCATTTGGCCTAGAAAAGAAGATGAGTAGGTTAGATGTTAGAAACTTAGGAACAATGAAGAGATATGAGCTGTGCAATTATACTTAGTATGTACTGGTTGTTGAATAGAAAGTATTGCTAAATAGCATTTCACTGTTGCAGTGGATACACAAATTAGTATGGCGTAACTCTGCCCTTGATTACTTGAGACTCTTTCAATAGCCAAGTCATTACATTAGTTCAGAGAGGAGGAAATTGAGTTTCAAGGAAGTTTCATTATTTGTCACAGTTTCATATTAAGTATTGATTTGAATGCAGTTCCTCTACTATTATATTTCTTCTATTATATATTTATACCATTAGAATATAATCACCTGTCTTATTTGCCTGACTCATTCACATATTCACATATTGTTGAAATCATTATTAAATATATATTTTTAAAAGTTGGGAAGAGGACCTCAAGAAGCGGATAGTCCTATGAGGAGAATGAACAGTTGTCTTCATTTTAAACTCATACACCTATTTTCTGTCCTCACATCAAAATTTTGGTGTTTCCTTTGGTGGGAAAGTGGCAAGCTATTCTCTTGCTGAATCCGTGACAATCTTTGTTATAAAAAATTTATTTGTCTTATAAAATAATATTGATATTTTCCTTATATGACAATTTGTTTCCTACATAGAAAATCTTCTTTCAGTTTATATAATACCTTCTTTAGAGTACCAAGTTTCCAGAAACTCTTGGAAACTAAAGGATAATGGAAGAGCAAAAGAAATAAACTCAGAAGATCTACATTGAACCCAAAACTTATACTACATAACTCTGGTAAACCACACAATTTCCTCCAAGCTTATTGTTTTTCCAATGAAGAAGACAATGATTCCTTCCTTGATCTCTACTCACACTACTATTGTGAACACACAATAAGAAAATGTGCATAAAACTCAAAAGAGCCACATGAATCTTAGTAGTTATTGTGTAATAGTGGTTGTATAATAGAAAGTACTGCTAAATATTAAGCAAAAGAATGAGTTCCAGGATTCTTAGCCTACTTTTCCAGGAAAATTGTGACTGCCTTTCCTTTTATTCCATTCTTGGAATTACAGACTCTTTTAGAATCTTCAACTTAGTAAAAAATTTCAGGCAACCGTTTCTAAACTTCAGGGTACTCAGTTAAGAAAAGTTATCAAAGCTAGGCTGTGGCATAACCCACCTGTATCACCTATACTCAAGAGGACATCACTGAATCATACAAAGGGAATTGAAATTTCACACATTGTTTCTATGCCCAGGTTATACCTTATTCTAATGATTTGTTACACAAGTAACAATCACAAATAATTCTTGTCATTAGTAGTGTCTGTTATGCAACTCTAGTTGAGGGAAAACACCCAAAAGTGATGATGAAGTCTCTTACAAAAATCTTCATGCTAAAACTTGGAAAGATTCCTCATTATTTGAATAACTACATCTTATTTGTATAAGACCTCTGATGATGTAGTGGTTAAGGTATTTTGACTGTTAACCAAAAGGTCAGTGATTTGAACCTATCAGCCATTCTGCAGGAGAAAGATGAGGCTGTCTGCTTCTGTGAAGCTTTACAACAATTGAAACCCTATCAGTCGTTTTCAGTCAGTTCTACTCTGTCCTAAAGGATCAATATAAGTTAGAATTGACTTGATGGCAGTGGGTTTGCTTTGGTATCTGTATGACTCTGTGGCAAGTTACTCATAAAGTCATTTTTTTGTCAAGATGCCTAACAGCAGGAGGATTACAGCAAGGTATAGTCCAAGGTGTGGGCTATAGAATTCTTCAGGCCATGGATCTTTTTTCCATGTTCTGAGATGTATGAAACTAGGTGTGTTTATGCTGGACAGTATAATCTGCCAATAAAATAGGGATCAAACCAGTGAGGTTCATAGTAAATAGCATAGCAGACACAATATGAGGTCTAGAACACAAGTGTAAACTCCTTCATTTTATGAATATATAAAGATCCAGAAAAAATAAATAATTTGTTAAACCTACCTAAGAAAAAAATGGAAGTCTTCTGATTTCATCCAGTATTCTGTTTACTTTACCCTAGCTTTCAGTTGCTAGTGTGAAACCAGAAACACCATAGCTAATAGCTTGTGTTTTCTCAATTCCTCTTATAAAGACTTTCTAACCACATCTTTGTTTATGGTCTAATCCAGTGCACTTAACTAAGATCACCAAATCTGGTAAAATGGCTCCAATTTCATTATTGCTAAATTTTCTTGTGGCCATGGAATGGAATAAAGACAGTTGTGAAAAAAAACAATTACACAATATTAAGGTATGTCAGTCCTGAAAAGAAACTTAGACATCCAGTTCACATTCTTCACTTTGGGAAACTGCTAGATCAATGAATGAGTAAAAGTGGTCAGTCACCTAATAATAAGTTCACTGTAGTCATACTATACTCTCTAAAATGATCTTTAAGACTTTTCACTAACAGTGAACACACTGCTCCAGATCTGTTTCTATAATTTCATACTTGGGTTTCTTCTGTTTCTGTAAGTTCATACTTTTGTCTCTTTGGGATAATAATAATAGTGACAATAAAGATGACATTAATCTGTCAGACACTCTGCTAAATGCTTAAAATGCAGTGCTTATTGAGTATTTAAAATAGATCAGTGAGGTCTTTAGTGATAAGAATATTTAAGTGACTTACCAAAGATCTCATATCTGAACAACATCAAAAATTAGATTTTTGAACCCAGATATATTTGATCATGTACATACACACGAAAAAAGTAATTTTATTTTATTTGAAAATTTCAATTTTTTTTCTACATTACTGTTTAAGGAAGAAATTCCTCAGATACACAACCAAGAACAATGTCAAACTAATTAATGTGTGTTAAAACATCCATTAGATATTTCAATGCAATAAGCAAACTTCCCATGTTGAAAGAGTTTACCAACTCTTGTCACTTACTATCTGACCTCTCTTTATCTCTGTCTTATCCTTTTATTGTAGATCATAGATACTGAAATCTACCCTGCAAGAGTATTAGAGATATTGTAAAATATCCATTTATGAGCTCAGTAAATGAGAAACACTTTTTTAAATGTTAGTGGCTATGTTGGTATTCCCACATATTTCACCAATTACTCAATTATATTCAACACGAAACTATGACCAGTTCTGGAATCACTGACCTGTATCACTTTCCTGACCAGAAAAAATATTTGTTACCCAGTGTAATGTAACAGCAGCAGGATTATGTTATATTCTAACTTTATGTTGTATTCTAACATAATAATGATGGACTTCAATGTACTTACAGGTGTCGGCATGCTGAGAGGTGTTGATTCTGGTGTGTTGCTCTCCTCACACCTCCCTATACTACGTATGTGTATATTAGTTTGCTGTATCCTAAAACAGAGCAGAGCAATCATTAAAAATGAGAATGCATACACTTGGAAAACACTAAGCAGCAGTGTGGGTAGATTTTGGGTGACAGACAAGAACCGAAATTAGGAGTAGAGCCTAGATCTGCATGGAGCCATTGTTGAAGAGGCATTATGCAGGTTTAGACTCTTTTGATTTAACTGCAGGTCAGATCTGACTCCATGGCAGTGAGTTTGGTTTTTTTGGTTGTTTCCTAGCCCCAGAGATGTTGTGTCACATTTTATTCACTTGCATTCTTATAGAATTATTTTATGCTAGAAATAAATTTAAGGATAATCAAGTCCAAAAGCCATTGTTTTGTAGATGAGGAAATGGAGTCTCAGAGAGAAGTTTCACTTTATTAACTATAATGTGCCTTGAGGAATATAAAAGATAACAAGAGACAATCTTACAATCTGAATCTTAAAATTCGAAAGGATATTGGAGGGTATGAATGTTAATGCTTCTATCTTAAAAAAATATATATTAAGAATCTAGCCTCTTTTTACTTGTTTTCCTCTGGTGACAGGGAAGTCATCATCTAGCAAGGCAACCCATTTTATCTCTGGACATTGCTCAAGTTGTAATTGTTTTCCCATAACTTCCTCTTTAAGACCACACAAACTAATCTATCCCTTCTTACCTAGGATAGCCTAAATATCCTCTTCTCCATATTATTTACTCGCAGTTCCATTAGTCAAACAACTATTCTGAGGCATTCTTTATTAATATTTTGATAATTTCAGTTTTAGGAGCTTTGATAGTGTAGTGCCTAAGGCACTTGACTGCTAACCAGAAGGTTGCTGGTTCAAACCTGCCAGCCACTCCTTGGAAGGAAAGTTGGGCAATCTACTTCTGTAGTGATACTGCCTTGGCAACCCAAGGAGGGGTCGCTATGAGTTGGGTATGATGCGAGGGCACATAACAACAATTTGAGTTTTGTAATCTAAAATTCCTTTGAGTAGAAAATCACGTGTTATGGATTTATATAGTGGAAAGCTTAAAAATAGATAATTTAGGCCCCACATTTACAAAAAAGAAAAGTGGAAGGTTATTTGAGCTGAAGATAAGACATATATAGTGATTGAATTCCTGTGAGGCTTTACTTATTCCTTAAACAAAGATGTATTAATTTTTCAAACTCTATAAGATCCATGGATGGATTTCAATTATTTCATGAACCCACAAATATTATGCATGTAAATTGTTAGTGTTACTTTTTTTTTTTTTTATGACTTTTCTGGAAAGAGGTAGTTTACTTTATACTTTCAGAAGAAACTTTGGTTCCCAAATACTTGGAACTACTGACTTGGATATAACTAGTATAGGGAGGAAACAACAAAAGTGTATTTAGACCCAGATTAACAAGGTTAAAATTCGAATTGATATACACCCTAGCTTTGAACAAATTTCTTGGACTGTGTGAGCATCAGGTATCATATGCACAAAGAAGATGGTATTTATTCTATAGTAGATTATAAAGCTTTAGTGGAAGAGTGAATATATCATACCTATGGGAGGCTCTGGCAGCATAGTGCCTAAGGCACTTGACTGCTGACCAGAAGGCTGGTGGTTCAAACCCACCAATCACTTCCCGGAAGGAAGGTTGGGCAATCTACTTCTGTAGTGATACCACCTGAGAATCCCAAGGAGGGGTCGCTATGAGTCAGATCCAACTCCACGGCAGTGGTTGCATTTTTTGTTTTACCATACCTACATATATGAGAATGTATAAAGCACTCATATTTATATTTTAGTCCTTTAAGTATATAAAAGCTTAATTATAAAGGAAATAAATGTGTATTCAAATATTTTTGCAGGATTTCAGAGCAGGATATCAGAGTATCCTATCTACTCCATTTACTGTTTCCCAAGAAGTCCAGGTCTTCAATGTAACTTGAGGTGGGGTGGGGTGGAAAAGTCAAGATTTGCCACCATCTCATTTAAAGCTGGACAGACAGGGGGTAGAAGGAGTGAGGCATGTGTGCAGAGGTGAAAAAAAAAATTTCCAAATTATGATATCATTTGAGCAGAAAAACAAAAACAAAGCTACCACCAAAAATGAAAGTGTTAAAATGAATCTTTCTTACTTAACCTAAGGTAAAAATAGAATACTTTTCATATCTAGCAATCTTTCTTAATACCTCAGTGAAGTCAGCTGGTTGAGAGAACTGTGTCTGCTTTACAGATGAAGAAACTGAGGTTCACAATGATGAACTAATATGTACACTGTTGCACAGATAGTAATAAATCTGAGCACAGGCACCAGACTGACCATTTGTTCCAGTTTGCTTTGTCTTTGGAATGATACTACTTTCTCTTCCAAGCAAAAGTCTTCAAGAGTGTGCAATCAGTGGCTACTACATAGTCCTAGGGCACACTAGTTTTTATAGGCTATGCTGACCATACATAGAACTGGTTCTCAACTTTTTTTTTTTTTTTCTCTGCTACAAACAGGACAGATGAAGTTCACAGTCCTTTGAATGTATACAGGCTTATGAAGAAGTTATGTAATTTGTTGTAGCCCTACCATTCTTTTCTTTCTAATCCACTCAGTGAAGCATAAAACAATGTAGGCTAGCAACTTATTAAAGGGATGACCCTAATCCTTCTCTATTTTATGTATAAGCAAGTTCATTGATAAATTTGGAACTCTTAACTGCTGTGATTAATAAATTACTTGTGACACACATCAAGTTGATATCAGGGTACTGCTGTGGGGTAAAACTATGGACAAGATATGCTGGTGTGAATTGTGTACTTACAGGTTTTCATGACAGAGCATGCAGGGATTGTTGTATGTCTGACCATCATCACCACAGACAGGCTCTAAATTCTTTGGGCAGAGGTAACCAATCCTGGGCAATACTCGGTAGTGTTGGCACATATTTGAATCCTGAATAAGCAAAAAATAATGAAGACTTATTTCCACATTCATACTTCCAACTTGTATCTCAGAAGAAATACAGCCAGAATGCTTCTTAGAACCAAGAATGGCCAGACTTTGTTTCATGTACTTCGGTCATTTTGTTAGAATAGACCAGTCCTTGGAGAAAGACAACATGCTTGGTAAAGTAGAGGGGAAAAGGGGAAGACTCTCAATGAAATAGATTGACAAACTGGCTGCAATGATGGGCTCAAGCATAGCAAATATTGTAAGGATGCTGTAGGACCAGACGGTGTTTCATTCTGTTGTGTATAGGGTTGCTATGAGTTGGAACCAACTCGAAGGTACCTAACAACAATGAGTCCTGGGCAGTACTTGGTACTGCTTGAACATATCAGAACACTGAGCAAGCGGAAAATAAAGCAGACTTATTCAATAGCACTCAAGGCAAGGAATTGATTTCAGAAAAACTGTTTATTTCCACAGTCACATTTGAATAAATGTTCATAGAACCACTACTCCCAATTGCTAAAAGTTGGAAACAACTTCAATGTTGATCAATTAATGCATAGATTTGCAAATTGTGGTATGTACATACAACAGACTATTCAGCTTTAAAAAGAAATGAAATACTGATACATGGTATCACATGAATGACTGTCAAAAACACTATACTAAGTGAAAACAACCAGTCACACAGGGTCACATATTATATAGCTCCATTTATACGAAATATCTAAAACCAAACCAAACCCTTTGCTGCCAAGTCAATTCCAACTCTCATAGACCCTACAGGACAGAGCAGAACTTCCCCATAGGATTTACAGCTCTAGTGGTACAGTAGTTAAGGCATTTTGCTGCTAAACAAAAGGTCAGTGGTTCAAACCCACCAGCCACTCCAAGGAAGAAAGATGGGGCAATCTGCCTACATAAAGATTTATAGTCTTGGAAATTCAATTGGGGTCACTATGAGTCATAATCAACTCAATGGCAGTGAGTTGTTATTATTTTTTATTTTTTTCAATCTCTGTGGAAGCATCATTCTCCCACGGAGCAGGTAGTGGGTTCAAACCGATGACCTTTTGATTAGCAGCCTGGCCTTTAATCATCGCACCACCAATACACTTCATGAAATATCCAGTAGAATAAATCCAATACAAATGAAATGTAGATTGGTGGTTGTCAGTGGTTGGGCTAGGAAGTAATGGGGAGTAAGTAAATTCTTTATGGATATGATGCTTCAGAACTAGAGGTAATGGTTGCACAACATTGTGAATGTACTAAATGACACTGTATTGTTCACTTTAAAATGGCTAATTGAATTGAATTGAATTTCATCTCAATACAAATTTTAAAAATACATAAAGAAAAATTGATAGGAAAAAATAGGCAAATTCACAAACATAATTGGAAATTTTAACATAGCTTTTTCAGTAGTTGATAGAATAGGCTAAAAATATCAAGATATAGAATAGCTGAACAACAATATTAACCAATTTGGCTTATAATAGAAATAAAAATCTACAGAAAATACTTTCCTCTCTCTCTCTCTCTCTCTCTCTCTCTCTCTCTCTCTCTGTTTTTTTGTTTTGTTGTTTCTTTTAAATGTCATTCTTACCAGAGAATTGGGGGAATTTAGGCTGTCTTCTTCTTCAGAAGCTCTAATGTGAGTTGGCTTTTCCAAAATTCTTGCCTTTTCCAAAGCTTCTTTTTGACTAAAGAAGGAAACAAAAAATAATCTTAAATGATATTCACAAGAATAATCTACTTATGCCTGTAGAAAGATAAGTGATATCAATAAAACATAATAGGACCATAAAACATTCCATCAGAATGACCAGAGCCATCCATATATTAAGAAAAATACATAATTGGGAGTTTATTTAGAAATCTCATCATTTAATCACGTTAGACTTAACATCCTAAACTCCCTAAGCTTTGGTTTTTCTAGAACCTGAAGAGAATAATATGAATTCTTTCTTCAGAGAACATATTACAAAACCTAGGTAATTGTGTTTATGACAAACATCATCACCACCACCACCACTGCCGCCATCATCATCTTCATCATTAATCATTATCTATCATGTCCATTTGTCCTCAGATCTGGTGCTTGTCAAAATAGCCTGAGGTCTCTCTAAAAAAATAGATTCATTAGCCCTGGAGATTCTGATTTAATGTGTTTTGGAGTATAAACACACACACACACACACACACATGCACGCGCATGCGCACACACACACATATATATTTTTTTGTTGAGTCTTATGACCAGTATAGTTGCAGAACAGAAATTGGGATAAATTTTTATCACTGTAATACTAAAAGTTAAAGGGTCTTTGTTGTTGTTTTAAGTGACACAACTAGTAAGTATCATATTGAGAATTTATAGTCATATTTCCTGTCTCCAAGTTCAGGTGCTCTTTACGCTATATCAGGGTTCTCAACATAAAGACCTTGAATCTAAAGACATATTTCAAAGTCCCTGTGGATTCATGAGTCCACATATTTTTAAAATCAGAAGTTCCTAGAAATGCAGACTCTTGGCTATCTGAAGGGGGAGAAGAAACCTTTTACTCACAAGAGAGCTCTGCACATGAAGCACTTGTTTTTGTAGAATTTTCCATCAGCATCACGCACGGGGTCATTCTCTCTAGTGCAGATGAGCTGCTCATTCCTAACATACTCCCGAAAGTTACCGCACTCATCCTAAAAAATGGGAAAAGGGAAGTTAACATGGCTTTTGCCCTTCTTGACTTGCAGATTTTCTCAAACTTGGTTGTAAGCAGTCATTTCTTGGCCTAGAACTCAGACTCACTGCACTTCTCCTGGCAAGGGAGGCCAAGGGACGCCCAGACTGTCTAAGCTTTCCATTTTCTGCTTCATTCGGAACCTCGGCACACTGGTCCTGGAAATGTAGGGGAAACATAAAAGGGTACTTGATAGACCTTCTTGTTTCCCTCTCCCCTTCTTTCCATCCTTCCTTTTCCCCATTTCCCACTGGAGATGTGCTCTTGACCACAAAAAGGACAATCTCACAGAAATCTGACTCTGCAACTGCAATTATCACTATTAACAGATTGAATGAAGATTTCAATCAAAAGCAAAGAGAAAAGTCAGCATCATGGTTGCACACTACTGATTCAATGATTCTGGAGAAAACAGAAAAAAGATAGCAAGGAAAGAAGCTAAAGGGAAGGCTTCAGATTAATTGATACTGCGTGAGTTAATAAAATCAACATCTACTAGTAATCCAAAGCCTCATTTCACACTTAAAATCTCAAAAGTATGCAGGCAACGGAACGGTGAAGAATTTCACTGAACATCTTTTAATCTACATTATTTTATTTATTTATTTTTTCAAAGAGGAGAGTCTGAAGTAATAATTTACACACTCTTGGAGAATCTCTACAAAATCAATAAAAGTATCAGACTCCAACACCAGAAAAAAAAAAAAAATTTTCTTTGAAGTAAAAGGTTAGCACTTTTATTATTCAAAAAGTAGAGAATGCAAGATTCTCAGGTAAAAAGGAAAAGAGTTATTTTAATATCTTTCAAGAAATACCTTTGAGTCATTTGAGGGTTTAGCATTTGATTTTTCTTCATCATTCTTTTTTCTTTCATTAGCCTCTCGCTCACTGCAGAATGAAGAAGAGTAGGGGAATTTTTCTTTTTTTTCAATTGTATTTTATTAATTTTTAATTGTATTAACCAAGCATTTGTCCAATATTAACATTAGGAATCCAACATTATTTTCTCAAAAATCCAAAAAATATATTTTCCTCAATCAATTCTGATTGTTGAAAATTTCATGTATGTAATAATAGTGCCTAAGGCATTCAACTGATGACCAGAAGGCTCGTGGTTCACATCCACCAGCCACCCCTTGGGAGGAAGATTGGGCAATCTACTTCTGTAGAGATACCACCTCGGAAACCCAAGGCAGGGTCACTATGAGTTGAATCAACTTGAAGGCAGTGAGTTTGTTTCTTTGTTTCTTAATAATGCTATCAACTTTTATAAACTCAGTTAATCAGCAATGATCCAGAATCATATAATCCTAAAGCCTATTTTTTCCTGAATTGAATACATTAATAGCTGTCATGTAGAAACTTGCCTTAGTTTTCATTTAGTTATTAAATTAGTTTGATTGTTCCTTATATAGTTATAATGTTTTGAAATTCATAAACACTTTTACAAATATTACCTCCTTGAATCTCCACAAAAATTGTATGTTGTTGCTTTTATTTTATACCTATCTATAATGTCCATAGCCAGTCTGTCATTTTGTCATAATGTAGCGACTTGTATGTAGCTATGATACTGGAAATTATGCCAACAATATTTCAAACAGCAGCAGAGTCACCCATGATGGACAGATTTCAACAGAACTGCCAGGCTAAGACAGAGTAGGAAGAAAGACATGGCAATATATTTCCAAAATGAAAATCTTATGGCTCGGAAGAGAATATTGTCTAACTGGATTAAAAAATGACAACAATCATGAAGATGACATAGGACCAGGTAATATTTCATTCTGTTGTACATGGGTTTGCCATGAGTTGGAGGCAACTCAACAGCAGCTAACAGCGACCACATATATAATGTAGGTATTGTATATGGGAACTGAAGCTCTGCAAAATGAGCTGAGTTTTACTCAGGTATGTCAATGATTTCACAACTATACAATAGCTGTCTTTCCTACCTCAGTGGCTCCAAGTGCCTCTCATCATCAAAACTAAAGTTTCTTGTGAAAGTGCTTTGGAAACACTTACTGTCCTTGCAAAAGTGAGGATCTTTTACTATATTTTTAATGTGTGATATCAAAAGTCTTAGGTTTTAAAGTAATTTAAAGTTATTTTCTGACAAATGGGCACATTACATCAAATTGGTCAAAAAAACTCTTCACGTACAAGATGCTCTGACACATAGCACATTTGTTGACATGCGTCTTGCCGTACGGTCCTCGAACAGGGTCATTTTCTCTGGTGCAGATAAGTTTTCCCCCTCTCAGCAGGTTGCGGAATTCTTGACACAGATCCTGGCAATATAAGCAAAAAAGAAGTTATTACCATAGTTTGATTTTTAAAACTTAAAAACACAATTGATTGGTTAGATATGAGCTTGTAGCATTTGAAGGGGGAAAAAAAACTAGAGTGAATAAAAGTTCAGTGATGAACTGTGTTTTAAAGACAGTAGTTGGAATAGATTTAATGGCAATGGTTTTTGGTTTTCACTTAACCTCTTACTCCAAACCAAAAAACCAAACTCACTGCTGTTGAGTCAGATCCGACTCATAGCAACCCTGCCTTGGGTTTCCAAGGCAGTAAACACTACGGAAGTAGATTCTTCCATCTTCCTTCTGAGAAGTGGCTGGTGGGTTTGAACTGCCATCCTTCTGGTTAGCAGTCCAATGCCTTAGGCACTGAGCCACCAGATCTCCCTCAACCTCTTACTAAGATGTTTGAATTCTGTCCATAGCCTCCTTTTCAATGACTGTGTTGTGCCGGTGGAATTTCACAACCACTTAAGACAACCCATTCTATTTTTAGACAGTTTTATATTAAGCTGAGTCCCAAACCTCTCTCCTTGGAACTAAATTTATTACTCTACACATACAGGGTCAAATTCAAAAACTCTGGAATGAGTTAGAAAACTGCCAGCCTTCTAGTTAGCGGTCAAATGCCTTAGGCACTATGACATCAGAGCTCTCTTGTAACATTATAGAGCTGACTTTTTTGTTCACTAAAGAACAGAGATCTTAAAAAGAAGCCAATGGAACTGAGCACTGAGCTCACAGGATCTGATCTCTACTGAAAGCATTGGAGATCTGTAGACATCTGTCTTCAGCTTTTTTTTTTTTTTTTCTTAAGCCCAAATATAAATATGGAAATACAGTCTTAGAATATATTTCAGTAATCTTGATTATAGTTATCCATAAATTGTGAGCAATCCTAGATCTACTTTTATCTATGGTATTTTAAAATTACTTTAGAATTGAATACCTGGCCAAGGTATTGAATTTCTCATAAGCATCATTTTCAGATGTTTTCAGAATTACTTTCTTTTCTAGGTGCCCACAATACCACTTAAATATATGAATATGATATAGCATACTTCTGCCTGTATTGTAATATTTGGTTTAAGTGCTCAGTTTCTGGCTCTCTTATTCATAATTTGTGAATAGTCAATGTCTGAGTTTTTCTAACTGCAAAATTGGAACAATACCACTCACTGCATAGATTATAGTGAATATTAACTTTGATAATGCATGTGCTTATTAAAGCTTATTTTAATTCATATGGGTAGATATGACCTTACTTCTCTTTTTGCTAAAGAAAGAACACATTTTTAAAATGTGCTTATGTTGTTGTTGTTATTAAGTGCCATTGAGTCGGACCCAACTCATAAAGACCCCTCCTTGGGTTTCCAAGGTGGTATCACTACAGAAGTAGATTGCCCAACTTTCCTTCTGAGGAGTGGCTGGTGGGTTTGAACCTCCAGCCTTCTGGTTAGCAGTCAAGTGCCTTAGGCACTAAGCTATCAGAGCTCCCAAAATGTGTTTATAAAATGTGTTTAGAGAGTATACTTTCCTATTTAAAGTTTCGAAAATTAGATATTTTGAAACTAAAAATTGACCAAGAGTTTTAATGAAGTGCATGACCAGTAGAAATATTTTTAATAATAGAATAATATCCTTTCTCAAAGCTATTCCTTTACCAAAATGCACATTAGAAATTTCCAAGATATATTTTTAAAATAATATTAACCATTAATGTTTCATTATGTTGAATCAGTATAGGCCTAAAGAAAAATTGCCTGCCAGAAAAGAAAACTTTCCAGAGGAAATTCACAATTTTGCTCTATTAATTGGAGTCCATAGTTGGGTTAGAAGACATTATATTGTGTAATATTCTTAGTGAAGCTCTGAATATTATTTACAAAGCCCAAAACTGAACACTCAATGTCAGTGAATTGCCGGGTCAAGTTTTTATTATCTTGAATTCCAATGATACTTGCTTTATTTTTGTTATTTTTGGCATCTCTTTGCTTTATGATTTTTGTTTTAAAATGTCAGAAAGGAAATCACTGGATAAAACAATTTGAAAATTGTTACTGATGCTATGAATGTTTGGTAATGGCGTAAGAGTTGATCTTCTTGTTGTTTGGTGCTGTCGAGTTGGCTCCAAATCATAGTAACCCCATGTACAACAGAACAAAGCACTGCCCTGCCTGTCCTGTGCCAGCCTCACAATCCTTGCTATACCTGAGCCCATCATTGCAGTCATTGTGCCAATCCATCTTGTTAAGGGTCTTCCCCTTTTTCGTTGACCCTCCACTTTACTAAGCATATAGCCTTTTCCAGGGAATGGTCCCTTTCTGACAACATGACCAAAGTAGATAAGACAAAGACTGGGCATTCCTGCTTTGAAGAAACATTCCAGCTACACTTCTTCTGGGACAGATTTGTTAGATCTTCTGCAAGTCCATGGTACTTTCAGTATTCTTCACCACCCCCACCACAACCCAGAAGCATCAGTTCTTCTCTTAGGGCATCAAATAGCATGCTATTTGATTTGTGATATCTGGCCAAGTCTTTCTTGTTTACCATTATATCCTAGGACTGGAGCAGAGCTATTGTTGTCATTTTTTTGTGCTGTTGAGTTGGACCTGACTCACAGCAACCCCTCTTTGGGTTTCCGAGGCAGTACCACTACAGAAGTAGATTGCCCCATCTTCCTTCTGAGGAGTGGCTGGTGGGTTTGAACTGCCAGCCTTCTGGTTAGCAGTCAAGTGCCTTAGGCACTATGCTACCAGAGTGCCAATATTCATTGAAGGACAAACCACACAACTAAACCAATAAATTCAGGTATTAAGATTTTTAGTATACATTACCTCATTTTCATTGCTCTTTTCACCAGTTTTTCTCATGTTTTCCTCTTCTTTCTTCTTTTTCTCAGCTGCTTCCCTTTCCCTGGAAGAAACGATAGAAAGAACATTTTTAACCAAAGTAAACAAACAGCTTGTTAACTACTACAATATCTGCTTAAAAAAATATATACTCCTCAAACAGATGAGTGATAATTAGTGTATTTTAAGATATCCAATATAAAACCCATTAAAGTTTGAGGTTTAAAGATTACTTAGGGCAATTGCTTCAGAGGTTTATCCAGTCTTCATGGCTCCAAAAGTCTGGATTCCAATAGAATGGGATATTCTGTTCTGTATTTTCCCTCTTTTTGATCAAGATTTTTCTACAGAATATTTGATCAAAATGTTCAGTAACGGTACCTTGGCACCATTCTGCTCTGGTATTGTGTCAAAGGAGGCAGTTATTCATGGAGGCGATTAGCTACACATTCTATTTCTTTTTCCTATTCCTGACTCTCTTTCTTCCTCTGTTGCTCCAAGCAAATAGAGACTAATAGTTGTACTTTGGATGGCTTTTAAGTCCCTAGGCACTACACAAAAAGCTAGGAGGTAAAATAGAAGCACAAACATGTTCTGGTTAACAGCCAAATGCCTTATGCACTGCACCACTTAAAAAAAAATACAACTCACTACCATCAAGCTGATTCCAACTCATAGCCACCCCCTTTGGGTTTCCAAGGCAGTAAATCTTTACAGAAGTAGATTGTCCCATCTTCCATCCTCAGAGTGGCTGGCAGGTTTAAACCATCAACCTTCTGGTTAGCAGTCAAATGACTTACACATTGTGCTACCAGAATTCCTTAATTAACTGGGATGTACCATGAAATCATAAAAAAAAAAGTCTGCCTGAGAATTATGCTCTTTTGAGATCTATCTCTATGGGATTAAATTGGCAACAACAACTCCCGGGATTAGACAGGAAACTTTGGGGGCACTGGGTTTATGTTAATGGAGGAGGAACTTGGAAAAGGAGGGTAAGAATGGTTGTGCAACTCAAAGATTGTAGTCAATGTGACTGAATTAGACATGTAGAAATTGTCATATCAATGTATGCTATGCTGTGTATATTTTCAACAAAATAAAGCAACAAAAATAAAATAAAATAATTAAAAAAAAAAAACTCCATTAAGAAATACTTACAGTTTTTCTTTACACATAGCACACTTATTGCCATGTGTCTTGCCATCTGGACCCCGGACAGGGTCACTCTCCCGAGTACAGATTAGTTTTCCATTTTTCATTTGACCTCTAAACTCATCACATATATCCTGAAAATAAGGGAATAATATATTGGAAATGTTATTTTCACATAGTATTTTATTGAATTTGGGAATTAGAAAAATTAGCTATCACTTGAGTTTGCTATAGGCAGAAGAACGGCCCCCTAAGGATGTCCACCTTCCATCCCTGAACCTGTAATTTGTTACCTTAATTGCAAAGAAACATTAAAGTTGAAGATGAAATTAAGTTTGCTAATCAATTGACCTTGAGATGTGATTATCCTGGACTATATGGGCCCAATGTAAACATGAGGCTCCATAAGCAAAAGAGGGAGGCAGAAAAGCTAGTGTCAGAGTGATATAGAATGAGAAATACTTGATTGATCATTGCTGGCTTTGAAGATGGAAGGGGCCATGGGCAAAGGAATGTGCACAAATTCTAGAAGATAGAAGAGGCATGAAAATGTATTCTCTCCTAGAGTCTCCATAAGGAAATGAAGCCCTGCTGACACCTTGATTTTAGCTCATTGAGACTCATGTAGGACTTCTGAACTCCAGATATGTAAGATAATAAATGTGTACAGTTTTAAGCCACTGTATTTGCAGCAATTTGTTATAGCAGCTATAGGAAACTAATATACTAGCTGAATATCATCTCTACAATGTACCAAATGAGGTTGAAAAGCATTATTTATCAAGTTGAGTTGTTGTTGTTGTTATTTGCCATCGAGTCACCCCGACTCATAGCGACCCCTCCTTGGGTTTCCCGAGGCAGTGTCACTACGGAAGTAGGAATGCCCAACCTTAGTTGAGAGAATTAAGTAAACTACTATATAAAAAAGTTAATTGTGGATGTTAGAATGGATTATGTTCATTTGCCATTAGATTTCTAACCTGAAGAAGCTACTAAAACTCATTGCCATCAATTCAATTCCTATTCATTGTGACCCTATATGTGCCAGAGAAGAATTGCTCCATAGTTTTCAATGGCTATAATCTGACAGAAGTAGATTGCCAGGCCTTTCTTCTATGGCATTGCTGGATGGATTTGAACTGCCCACCTCTTGGTTCATAGCCAAACATGAACTGTCCATGCCATCCAGTGATATTCATATTAACCATGTTTTTTCACCATCTAAGGGCAAGGTCTTAATTGGTCACATCGACACTTTCTTTCCATATCTTTGATGGCCAAGCATTGACTTATAGAAATGCCATTAATGGCAAAACCTACTAAATATCTAACCTTTCCTGATGCTGAACCAGTCTCACTTGATCTGAAGCCGGAATTCTTATTTTTTTCATCTTCTTCTCTTTGACTGGAAAAGAAAAGAATAAACAGTTAACTTGCTACTACATATTCTTGATTGAAAGGGGTCTTCAAATTTATGTACCCTAAACCATCTCCTTCATAAAGAGTCTGTCTGCCTCTCAGAGATACATAGTCAGTTCGGTTATTGAGACCCAAATGCAAGAAACTCCCTCATTACAATGTAGACATTGTAGGTAGATCAACTCCAGTAATTAAAGTTTCCTCTATTTGTGCCCAAATTTATCTCCATATAGCTCCCGTCCTTTGGTCTCATTTCTCATTCTGAGGACAACACAACCTACTAAATCCATGACCTCCTCAGTTATCAGTCCTTCAGACATTTAAAGGCCACTCTCCAAGTACAGCTTCCTTAGTTCCTTCACCTTTACATCATAACTCATAGATGTTAATCCTCCATCCCACTCCCCATTCTGGTTCCTTCATTAATGAGTTCAACACGTTATAACATTTTCTTTCTTTTTCATAAATTAGTCAGCTGATTTTAGCTTATTCTTATTCTTTTAACTTATTATGATTTGAGTGAAATTTTCTAAAGTATGTTCATTTTCATTCAGCAGTTCATACATATTTTATTTTGTGTATATTTCCTGCATTGTAATAGCTCTCTCCTCTCACTTCCTCCCTGTGGTTACCCTTTCCCTGTGTCCCTCTTGCCTATGCATTCCTGACTCCCTGCATTTCTCCCTCTGCAAATGTTGTCCTTCTGATCTCACATGGTTGATTTTTCTAAGGAGTTCATTATCCTATGGTAATTGTTCAGCTTGTAGGCTTGTCTATTGTTTGGCTGAGAGTTAAACCTTGGAAGTGAGTTTAATTCCAAGGCTGAAGGGTGATTCAGGGCCATAGTCTCAGGTTCAACCAGTCTCTATCCAACCAGTAAACCTGGTCTTTTTTGTAACATTTTTTTCTACAAGTGTAGAACTGAAAACAGAAAGTAAACAAGTAATCTAAAAGGGACTTTAAGACCATGCTTTTTATCTGTTATCTTTTCCATAAAATATTTATGCCAGTGGTTTCTAAATTTTAATGTGCATTAAAAATCATCTGAGATTTGTTAAAAATTCAGATTCATTGACTATTCCAACAGTTTGACACACAAGGTCTGGGTTAGATGTCAGTAACCTGATAGTTAATAAGCAAGTCAGATGATTCTGATGCAATTGTTCCAAGATCTAAACAATGCAAAATTTTAATATATCTCTCTCTCTCAACATTTCACTTGGTTTTGCACACAAAACACAGACATGCATATGTATGTATATAAGTATATGTAACCATATATATATATGTTGTTGTCATGTGCTGTCGAGTCAGACCCGACTCATAGCAACCCCTCCTTGGGTTTCCAAGGCAGTATCACCAAGGAAG